GGAAGCCTCAGGCTTCCGAACGGAAGTGGCTAGACACCGGTGGAGAGCGGTCAGACGGGGGTAAACCGATTACAACCGTTGTACTCAGGATACCACCACTTGGGGACCTAGTGGCAGAGTACAACAGTTTAAAGGGCTTTGCAACGGTTAGGGACGGAAGGCAGATGTTCTACGTGTGAACGCCGGTAAGTACACCGATTGCAACCGGCACCTATACCGTTGCAAACGCCACGTCTGAACGCACCCAGAGTGTTGGACTGGACAGGCCACTGGCCGGATCCAACATTGGCTTCTCTGGTGTTCTCATGTTCTTGTGAGAGCCGAAGCTCCCTTTAAGAGCTCATTCCCTGGAAGTCGTCTCGGTCCCTCAAGGTGCTCCTGGACCCAAATCCAGCTCTTTCCCCTGCAGACCAACCAGGCTGCCCCCTGAAACAAGCAACGAGTCAATTCCTGCAAAGATCATTAAAAGCAGGTACGATACAGGCCCCAAGAGACAGACGACTCAAAAACGATGGGATGGATCTTCAATTAAGAACCTGGGCGAAAAGATTTTGTCGGATGATGGACTCCATTTTATAATTGGATAAGGAGGAAACACAAAGATACAAGCTTCTTAATGTTGTAAGAAGAAGACTTTATGAACTTTTAAAATCTCACCGTCTGTTTCGTTGTGATGTGAAATGATAAGTAGAGGAGATTTATATGCAGATGACTTATTATTTTTGTTCCTTCCCCCCTCCCCTTCCCCTTTCTCATCTTTGTATACCCTAAAAACTTAATAAAATACACTTAAAAAAAAAAGAACCCAGAAGAAAAGAAATACTTGCTTCAGCTTGGAGCCTAAAGGACAGTAAAGTAGGAACCAGGTGAGACTCAAGTGGGGGGGGGGGTTTCCTGTGGGATTCCAGAATGGGGGATCTTGACTTCCCCAAAAGAATCATAGACTCACAGAGTCGGGAGGGGCCATAGAGGCCATCTAGCCCGGCCCCCTCCTCAATGCAGGATCAGCCGAGAGCGTCCCTGACAAGTGCTTGTCCAGCCGCTGCTTAAAGACTCCAAGTGAGGGGGAGCTTAACACCTTCCTGGGCAGCTGATTCCACTGTTGCACAACTCTGACTGTAAAAAGTTTTTCCTAAGTTCCAGCTGGTACCAGCCCTTAATTTAAACCCATTATTGCAAGTCCTCTCCTCTGCTGCCAACAAGAACAGCTCCCTGCCCACCTCCGAATACTTAAAGAGAGCAAACATGTCCCCCCTCAACCTCCTCTTCTCCAAACTGAATATTTCCAAGTCCCTTGGCCTTTCCTCCTGGTCTTGGTCTCCTACGGACCCCTGATCATCCTTGTCGCTCTCCTCTGCCCCAGGCTCCATTCTGTCCACATCCTATTTGAAGTGAGGCCTCCAGAACTGCACACAATACTCCAGGTGCAGCCTGACCAGTGCAACTCCTGAACCTGCTCCTGAGCCTTGCTTTCTAGAGCTGGGGGCACTGCTCCTGAGGATACCCGACTGGGCCTCCTGCAGAACAGGCTGCCAGTCAGAGCAGTCAACACTGATCTGGACAGTCTGACTCGGAAGAATGCATCTTCATCTGGTGGGTTGCACCTGCTCAAAAGGTAGGGTTGCCAACCTCCAGGTGGTGGCTGGAGATCTCCTGGGATTACAACTGATCTCCAGGCAACCCCTATTCTTGCAAGTCCTCTCCTCTGCTGCCCACAGGAACAGCTCCCTGCCCTCCTCCAAGGGACAGCCCTTCAGATACTTCAAGAGAGCCATCCTGTCCCCCCTCCACCTCCTCTTCTCCAGACTGGACATTCCCAGGTCCCTCAGCCTTTCTTCATAGGGCTTGGCCTGCAGGTTCTCCAACTTACCTCGAGTAAGATGGTGTCCGGGGCGTATCTTTCTTTCCAGTGGTCCAGAAAGACAAAATCCACCTTCTCCACTTCGTATTTCTTCTTCAGTTGTGGGATAATGTCTTCTGAATGGCCTTCCAGGATGGTCACCTGAAAGCAAAAGGACCCCGAAGTACTGAACTCCAAATATCGGACGCTGTCGCTACTTTTAAAAGCACCAGTCTCTCTTTGCCGACCGTGTTAATTGCCTGGATGGAAAACATTGGCCAAGCCACGTCAACAAGCTCTGGGTCACTCAGGGGCTTTGGTTTTTTTGGTGTTTGTGATAAATTGGCTCAATTATTTCCTCCACAAATATTTTGTCTCTGAGCAATTATAAAAAGCGATGACTTTGCTTCGAGTAAAGGGAAAGTTAACTCTCAGCTAGCGACAGGGGAAATTCCCCTGGTGGAAACACAATGGTCTCAGAAACCTCAATCAAATGCTGAGGCCCAAAGGAAATCAAAAGTACAGAGACATTTTAAAAGGCTGGATATAGTTCCCTCTTGCATGGAGTTACGGGCAAAGGATATAACAGATTCGCCTCCTTGCCCAAACCACAGCGCCCCCTTCAGGCAACAGACGCAGCAGGTCTCTGTGCTTAAACCTGGACTGTGAAGTGGGATGCTGTGGGTCTCTTCCGAAATAGCAAAGTGGCAGAACTGGGGCTTCAATGGCAGGGTCACATGACGAAAATCTCAGGCTCAGTCCCCAGCATAAGAAGAAGAACAGGAAGGAGGAGATTGGATTTATACCCCCCTTCACTCGGAGCCTCAGAGTGGCTTATGCTCTCCTTTCCCTTCCTCTCCCCTGTGAGGTAGGTGGGGCTGAGAGAGCTCTGAGAGAACTGCTCTTGAGAGAACAGCTCTGACAGAACTGTGGCTTGTCCAAGGTCACCCAGCAGCTGCAAGTGGAGGAGTGGGGAATCAAACCTGGTGCTCCCAACCACTACACCAAACTAGCATCTGACACAGTCTGGCCTCTTTCTCTCAAAGTCCCTGGAGAGTAGCTGATAGTCAGAGCAGACAGCATCAGAACAGACTGACCAAGTGCCGGACTCACTTCCGCACGGTCATTTTTGTCACTCGTTTGTCCCCATGGTGCTCCCAACCACGACACCAAACTAGCATCTGACTAGCATCTGGCCTCTTTCTCTCAAAGTCCCTGGAGAGTAGCTGATAGTCATTGGGAGGGGAACCCTGAAGCAATAGGGACAAACGAGTGACAAAAACAACAATGCAGGCCTCAATATAAAGCTGTTTCCTGGGATTCTGCAGTTGGGAAGTCCAGAAACACGTGATGCTGCCTTACCAAATCAGACCTTCAAGTCCATCAAGGTCAGTATTGTTTACTCAGACTGGCAGCAGCTCCCCAGGGTCTCAGGCAGAGGTCTCGCCATCACCCATGCCCTGATCCCCTAAGTAGTGCAAGATTGCAGGGACTGCAAGACGGAGCTCTTCCACCAGGCTTTCAATGAGGAGCCGCCCACCATTACCACCAACAATACTACGCGGACATCTCTAGTATAAGGCTGGCCCTAATGCGGAGTTAGAGCTATACCTACACAGGAGACCGGAAGATTGCTGAATCAGGAAACTGGATGGTAGATTTAGAGCGCACCATCTAATTGAATGAATTATTAATACTGCGAGCACTTTAAATGTTATGAATGTTTTAATTGTTTTAAAGTTTTAATGTAGACCAGGTACATTGTACCGACCGCTGTAATCCAATGTTTTAATTGTTGTAAACTGTTTTAAAGTTTTATGTAGACCAGGTACATTGTACCGACCACTGTAATCCGCCCTGAGCCTGTCCGCAGGGAGGGCGGGGTATAAATACAAATAATAAATAAATAAATAAGTGATGCTGGGGACTGTAACTGGGATATTCTGCATGCAAAGCAGATACTGTTACCACGACCCTCCTAGGAAAAGTAAACTGAACTCACTTTTCGTATTACAAGACTGGGAATGGGGCAGGCTGTGAGGGGAAGGGGGGGGATACGGCACTCCCACACGCACATAAGCCCTTGGCTTAGAAGTCAGATACCCAACCCTCTTTTCACTCTTGCTCAGAGTGAAAGAGGAGAGCGCAAAAGTGGGCTTGAAGCTCAACATCAAAAAAACTAAGATCATGGCATCCGGCCCCATCACTCCTTGGCAAACAGAAGTCGTGGAAGTAGTGACAGACTTCACGTTCCTGGGATCCCAGATCACCACAGACTGTGACAGCAGCCATGAAATTAAAAGATGCCTGCTCCTTGGGAGGAAAGCGATGGCGAACCTAAACAGCATGATAAAAAGTAGAGACATCATCCTGCCAACAAAAGTCCGCATGGTCAAAGCATGCTTTTGAATTATGGTGCTGGAGAAGACTCTTGAGAGTCCCCTGGACTGCCAGGAGATCAAATCAGTCAATCCTAAAGGAATTCAACCCTGACTGTTCCCTGGAAGGACAGATACTGAAGCTGAAGCTCAAATACTTTGGCCACCAAATGAGAAGGGAGCACTCACTGGACAAGACCCTGATGCTGGGAAAGATTGAAGGTCAAAGAAGATGGGGACGGCAAAGGATGAGATGGTTAGACAGTGTCATAGATGCAACGAACATGAAATTGAGCAAACTCCGGAGCACAACAGAAGACAGGAGGGCCTGGCGTGATGTGATCCATGGGGTCGTGAAGAGTTGGACTCGACTGTACGACTGAACAACAACAACCCCACCCTCTGCCTACCTGATCAGGATCCAAGCCTCACTCAAAACATATGTAAGACAGTCTACAGCACTGGAGAATAATCCCTAAACATACTGTAGACATATACACTATAACAAATTTTAAAAGATGTGTTTGTTGTATAGAGGTGAAGAATTCTGTCCACAATTATTATGCTACAGTGCAGCTGATGATAATACATTATTGAAGAGTTCAATGTTTTCAGTATTGAAAAGATGAATATAGTAACCAAAGATTCTGCTAGTGCTACTGTAATTATATGAGATGGATGATGTCCAAATAATACATTTCCTTTCGTTTACTATGAAACTTGTATTTTCTATTTTCAAGGGTTTTTTTCCCCCTACTCAGATATGGTAAAAACGAAGTTACACGTGCTAAAGTCGCATAAAGTCCAGCAGTTTGCAGCTCCTCCTTTCCAATATTGGGTATATTCACAGTTCTGATTGCAGAAAACTAATAGTTTTGTACTATTAAATTTCATAAAGATGCCAGGATAACATGATATGCTAAGTAAAGTTAAAATTGTGCATTTTATGCTGTTAAAGCAGCAGAATAAGTTTGGGTTGCATAATTAAGCATTACATAATTTCGAATTTTTCCAAATTTCAAATCTTTGTGTGTGTGTGTGTGTGGGGGGGGGTGTTCCCATAGCTTTAAAATTTCTGTACATTCCATACGTCCAGGCTGGAAATTACTACAGCCGCAGGAATTAACATTAACACAGGTTGGGGGAAGTCACAGCTTTGGCTCTTTTGGTGTCGGCAGGGATGCTGCCATTCGCTTAGCCAATCCGCACATTAGGGAACTTTTGTTGTTGTTGTTGTTCAGTTGCACAGTCGAGTCCGACTCTTCGCGACCCCATGGATCATCTCCCGCCAGGCCCTCCTGTCTTCCGCCGTCCTCTGGAGTTTGCTCAATTTCATGTTTGTTGCATCGATGACACTGTCTAGCCATCTCATCCTTTGCTGTCCCCGTCTTCTTTGACCTTCAATCTTTCCCAGCATCAGGGTCTTCTCCAGGGAGTGCTCCCTTCTCATTGGGTGGCCAAAGTACTTGAGCTTCAGTTTCATTATCTGGCCTTCCAGGGAACAGTCAGGGTTGATTTATTTTAGGATTGACTGATTTGATCTTTTTGCAGTCCAAGGGACTCTCAAGAGTCTTCTCCAGCACCATAGTTCAAAAGAATCTATTCTTCGGCGCTCGGCCTTCCTTATAGTCCAACTCTCGCAGCCATACATGACTACTGGGAATACCATTGCTTTGACCATGCGGACTTTTGTTGGCAGGGTGATGTCTCTACTTTTTATCATGCTGTTGAGGTTTGCCATCGCTTTCCTCCCCAGGAGCAGGAAACTAGTAACACAAAGTAATCACATTTACTTCTGAGAATATATCCTTGTTTTGCATCTTCTGTACCTTATCGTTGAGTCCAGCAATCTCGATAATTTCTTTTGCGATAGGAACAAACTCCGAGTTGAACTCGATGCTCAAAAGCCGAGCCTTTGGCTTCAAAAGCCGAGCGATCCTTATAGCTGAATAGCCACAATACGTCCCCAGCTCCAAAACAACGGAAGGATCAGTTTCCTCTACAATCTTATCTAGGATCAATCCTGAGAGGGACAAGATAAGAAACGGGAATGGGGAGTGAAGGTGGTAGAAGTCAGGGAAGCTAAATCAATGCAGTTAGAAAGTTTACTAGCTGGTAGAGGAGATTAAGATCTCTCTGTGTGTCCTTGAGTTGCAACAGAGACATTTAAAGGTCTGTGCATAACACAGCAATTTTTATTTTGACATCAGAAGCAGAAAAGAGGGCATGGGCAAAACAGTATCACGCTACTGATATTAGTTAAGTTGATGTTGTTGATGCATCAGACAAATAAAACGATTAAAAGGGTGCCACTGATTAAGTATTTTAAAATATTAAACTACTTGTAATGTTAGGTCTATCTAGCCAACACTTTCAAACCCGGATGGGTGTCGGAATCCCTCTTTGAAGAGGCATCTCCCCCCCAGCAGCAACACTTCTTCCAAGATGGCAACAAGAATGCGACACTGACAACTAGGGAAAATGTTTTGTTCTGCTTCATTCATACAAAAATGTACGTGGATTTAATCAATCAACTAGAACGTGTATGATTAGTTATCGAAGGTTTTAGAAAATAAGGTGACAGTCCTATTTTTATAAGCCAATAATATCAATATCCCTGTTTTCTTGAGCACTGCACCTAACTTTCCAGAAGCTGCTGAATGAACCGAAGTGTCTCTTGGTCTCTACCACTGAGCCACGGTCCCTCCCCTTTCAGGGGGAGCCCCTGGCCCCTTTCTAGAACTGGGTGAGGGCTGGTAACCGTCCTGATCAAGCCAGAATGCAAGGACCACCCAGCTTATTCCAGACATCTCCACCTGCCTTACACAGAATCAGATCATTGGTCCGCTTAGCCCAATATCGTCCACTCTGGCTGGCAGCAGCTCTCCAGAGTCTCGGGCAGAGAAACATCCTCCTCAAAATCCAGTTGTCTTAAATCCCTGAACTGGAGATGCCAGTATTGAACTTGGGATCTTCTGCCCGCGAACGATGTGCCATGATACTGCGCTACAGCCCCTCCCACCAGTACGGAAGTGATCTGTTTAGTATAGTCTCAAATTACTGGCCACGTTAAAATGGGGCTTCCCCATTCTAGTCAAGATTGCCACAGGGCTATGGTTCTTCTGCACGAAAAACTCCAGACAGTTGGCTGGTTATTGCTAGTAAGTGGGGGGAAAGGGGTGACACAGAGAATTTCTGCTGCAAAGAACTACAGGGGGAAAGCCGACTGGAATCTTTCTTGAGCTCTTCCAGATGGAGACGACAGTTGCTGCTTTCTCAAACCGAGGGGGACTACGTTCAGAAAAGGGAAGGAGAAATGAACAGGACAAAGTAGCCAAGTGGAAGACAGCTCCGTCACACACACAGAATGGATATTTGGGAGACACAGGGGGAAAGCCGACTGGAATCTTTCTTGAGCTCTTCCAGATGGAGACGACAGTTGCTGCTTTCTCAAACCGAGGGGGACTACGTTCAGAAAAGGGAAGGTGAAATGAACAGGACAAAGTAGTGAAGTGGAAGGCAGCTCCGTCTCACACACACAGAATGGATATTTGGGAGACAGGTGCAGTGAAGGGTAACCCACATGGAAATGCATGCAGCTGTAAAGAAAAGTGCAAAGATTAAAGTTATATAACAATATTAGAACAGCTACAAAGGATCAGACCAAGGGTTCATCTAGTCTGGAATCCTGTTTCACAAAGAGACCGAACAGATGCCTCTGGAAGGCCTACAAGCCCCCTGGTATTGGTATTCAGATAGTTTCTGTTTCTGAATACAGAGATTCCATTTATCTTTGTAGTTAATAGCCACTGATGAACCAGTTCCCCTTTAAGGTAAAGGTTCCCTTGCTCGAAAGCCAGTCGAGTCCGACTCTAGGGTTGCAGTGCTCATCTCCGTTTCAAAGCCGAAGAGCCAGCGCTGCCCGAAGACGTTTCCGTGGTCATGTGGCCGGCATGACTAAACACCGAGGCGCACGGAACGCTGTTACCTTCCCACCGAAGTGGTACCTATTTATCTACTTGCAATTTCTTGCTTTCGAACTGCTAGGTTGGCAGGAGCTGGAACTAGAGACGGGAGCTCACTCCGTCCTGCGGCACACTCGGGTCTCGAACTGCTGAACTACCGGCCTTCCACAGCCTGCAGTTCAGCGTCTTAACCACTTGAGCCACCACAGCTCCTAGTTCCCCTTTACAACCAACTAAACTAATGGTCATCATCACTGGAGTTTATGACTGGAGACGGCAGACTGCACTGTTCATTCTAAAGCTGGATTTGGCCTAGCAGCCTTGTATGGCTGACCTTACCCATTTGGTCCACCTTCTTTCACTGACATGACCTTAGTCTCTTGAAGATCCACGAGAGGATGGAACAGACTAGATCAGTTGACAAGAAGCTTTTGGCCTATGGGGCAGGGCCATGGCTCAGTAATAAAGCATGCTCTTGGCATGCAGAAGACCTCAGGTTCAATCCCCCGTTAAAGGATCACAGGTAGCAAGTGGTGGGAAAGACTCCTCTCTGCTTCAGATCCCAGCATGGGTCATTGCCAGCATAGCTAGTACAAACTAGGGATGGGCACGAACTGGGAAAATGGGGGTTCGTGGGGTATCGCCAACCACGAACCTCCACGAACCTCTCCATTTAATGAACCGGTTTGTGGTTCGTGATGCAGTGCGGCTTGTAAAAGCCATTTAAAGGAATACCTTTAAATGGCTTTTCCAAGCCGTGCCACGACTTGCGAGTGAATTTAAATGCCTTCACTCACTGAGTTGCGCCGCGGCAGGGCTTTGAGAAGGCATTTAAAGAGACCGCAGTCTCTTTAAATGCCTTCTCCAAGCCCCGCCACCAGTGCTGGCATGTCTGCTGACATGAACCACACGAACCTCTCAAAGCCACCTGGGAGGTTCATGGGGATGTCCATGGTGGCGGGATGGCACAAACCTCAGTTTGCAAACCACAAACCGGGCCTGGTTTGTCACAAATTTCTGTTCATAATTCGATTTGTGCCCATCCCAGGTACACACCATATGTCTGACTCCATATGTGGCAGCTTCACTCCTAAGGAAGACTTTTAACATTTATTAAATTTTTAAAAATATCTTTGGACCCAAGGGTTGGGAAGGAGAATGTGTTTTTCAGTATGAGCACTGTGATGACGTAGATCAGAGCAAAAATGCACACACAGGGACCCCTCATATAGCACATATTCAACCAGTGCTGTGTGAGCTGCACTGGCTTCCAGTGGAGCACCAGATCAAGTTCAAGGTTCTGGTTTTGACCTTCAAGGCCATTAGCGGTAGGGACCTACATATCTTCGGGACCGCCTCTCCCAGTGGAAGTGCCTCTCCCAGTGGAAGAGCACTATGCTCAGGAAATAAGAACTTCCTGGTGGTCCCCGGCCCGAGAGAGGTCCGGCTGTCCTCGACCAAGGCCAGGGCTTTTTCAGCTCTGGCCCCTGCCTGGTGGAACGCTCTGCCGGAAGACATCCGTGCCCTGCGGGAGCTGTTACCTTTCCGCAGGGCGTGTAAGGCAGAGATGTTCCGCCAGGCTTTCGGTTGAGGACAGTGATGGGACTTCATCTGGCACTGGCATGTGGTTCCTCATTCCTCACAGCCCCTCCCCTCAGGGAGACTGGGGAGTCAGGATTTTCCACCACCTTAAGTACCGTATATACTCTGTTCTCACTTACTGTTATTTATTGCACTGTTTTTAATGTAGTCGTATGTGAATGTATAACACGGTTGTAAGCCGCCCTGAGCCCTGCTTGTAGGGAAGGGGCGGCCTAGTAAATCCAATTTAATAAATAAAATACTTATATAGCACCAGTTGGAGCTTGTATTTTTGTTGTTGTTGTTGTTGTTAAAAGAAGTCATACATCCCATTCACTTTTACAACCTCAAGCGATCACCTGCACCGATTTCTCAGGATGAACAGGTCTCATTTCTGAAACACTCGTGGATCAGACTGGCACAGGAATTCTCTCTTGACAGGCCCAAATAATGCCATGCCTGTCCACCAGGGCATGCTGTTTAATCGGTTCCTTTCTGCTTTTAGCTGGAAGCAACAGGAGCTGCTTCCGTGACGCCAATGCCAGATCCCCACAGCTACTCTGCAAGGCCTCTCCCATTTTTACGTCACCCTAAAACAATCTCCCTTCCTTACCACGTGCTGCTTTGAAGGTGAAAGATCTGTTCACCTGGAGTACAATTAAGTCCAAGTCTCCAGTCCCACTAATGTCAGTGGGAGGGGTTTAAGCAGGTGCTTAAAAAACAAACCGCCTCAAGCCCCACTTCTCTGTGCCCTGCCTTTGGAGGTAAGGCAGGTGGCAACTAGGGCAGGGCATTTTCTGTGGTGGCACCTTGCCTTTGGACCACCCTGCCCTTTTAGGCTTTCTCGGCAGCTACTTTACTGTCTTTTAGGCACCAGGCTAAAAGACATTTTTTAACCCAAGCTTTTAATGATCTGCTTCTGTTTTATGGATAGTTTTTGTGCTGCCTATATCTAATGGCATGTGTTTTAATGATTTGTGTTTTAATGGCTTCTTTTAAATACTCTGGTTTCAATTGTAAGCTGCTTTGAGCAGGACCCCCAAAAGGTGGCATGGAAACATTCTAAATAAATAAATGAAATATTTCCATTGCAGTTATTTTAAATATTATACACTTGTATGGTATACGCTGTAACCATCAGGGACCCTAGATTCTATTTAAATAAATGCTGAATCAGGCCGTCCAAGCACTGTGGGAAGAAAAGCATTTCATGGTTGCCCTTGATTTGTCCCTTAAGCATGTAAAGGGCAAATACACACACAAACTCCTCCCTTGTACTGTTCATCCTTTAACACCGTAATACAGTCATTCTTAATATTTATATAGCGCTTTCCCTAGGGCGTCTTCAAGTCCACATTCTGAATACAACAGCCAGTATTATAATCATTGTGCAGACATAGAATCATACAGCTGGAAGGAATCTCCAGGGTCATCTAGTCCAACCCCCTGCACAACCCCTGTTCCATGCCCAAAAGATGACGAAAAACCTCCAGGATCTCCGGCCAGCCTGGCCTGGAGAAAATTGCTTTCTGATTCCAAAGTGGTGATCAGCATTTCCCTGGGCCTGTAAGAAAGGGCCATGAGAACGAAGCACTGATGCAACCCTCCCTGCCCTCCCTCTCATGATCTGCCTAAGCTCACAAAATCAGCATTGTTGTCCGATGGCCATCTAGCCTCCGTTTGAAAACCTCTGAAGAAGGAGAGTTCACCACTTCCCAAGGAAGCCTGTTCCACTGAGGAACCACTCTAATTGTCAGGAGGCTGGAGAGAAATAGCTTCTGCTTAAGGCCATCTTGTGATGTCACAATTATTTCAGTTTTACTGAAGGAGAACTGAATACTTGGCTTGGGGGTTGGGGCAGGGGAACCTAATTTGCTTAACAAAATTCAAACTCAGTCGCCCCTTAAAGACCAAGAAAACTGTCCAGGGTAAGAGCTGTGGTGAGTCAAAGCTCCCTTGGTCAGATACAATCTGTTATTATATCCCATATTTGTCAAAGTGAACTTTGACTCACCATAGCTCATACCCTGGACAATTTTGTTAGTTTTTAAGGTGCCACCGAACTCACATTTTGTTTGACTGCCATGGAATAACACGGCTACCCACCTGATTTCCTCAAGTCACTTTAATGCTTGTCAGATTTGAACCCTTGTTTTCTCTCTCCTTACAGTTAAAATGCCAAGCTGTGTACTTTGTACTTTCTTAATGGCTTGTGGATGAACAAATAAGAGTGAATCGATGGAATTGATCTTCCCCTGGTCAGCCTTAGCGGCACAATCCGGGATGTCAGTTTCTCAGATATCAAGAGGAGGAGGAGATTGGATTTATACCCCGCCCTTCACTCGGAGCCTCAGAGCAGCTTACGAACTCCTTTCCCTTCCCCTCCCCACAACAGACACCCTGTGAGGTGGGTGGGGCTGAGAGAGTTCTGACACAAACTGCTCTTTCAGGAACAGCTGTGCCAGAGCTTGTGACTGACCCAAGGTCACATCAGCAGGTGCAAGTGGAGGAGTGGGGAATCAAACCCGGTTCTCCCAGATTAGAGTACGCACACTTAACCACTACACCAAACTGGCTCAACTGCAGAACAGTTTAAGCCTGTGCATTTAGTTTGTGGTGGTGGTGGTGGGATGTTAGGGTATTGTTGGCAAGAAAGTCCAGGATTTGATTTTGTAGCTCTTTTCTCTAGAAAAGGAATTGACCCTTGATTATTTACACCAGAAAGGTTCCAAGGAATCTTCATCAGACAGGGCTGGGGACCGTATAACAGCAACCGCTTGCGCTGCACAGGACGGCCTCTTCCTCCCAGCTGCCAGAACTGCCAGCAAGACTGATCTGGTAAGAGAGGCAGCTTGAAGTCCTGCTCCTGTCTCACCTTGGCTGGCCTGTCCGCTAGGCTCACCCAGGCAATCACCTGGGGTGCAAGAGGTGCAGGGGAGGCAACGAGGCCTATCACCCCCCCACCTGCCCACCCATGGCATCGGGGTCTCCCATGGCAAGCAGCAGCCCCAGGAGGAGCCCATGGCCCCAGTGGGGACACTGCTCTTACCCGGGGCTCTTTTTGTAGAAAAAGCCCAGCAGGAACTCATTAGCATAATAGGCCGCACCCAACAGCAAAACTCATTAGCATATTAGGCCACACCCTGACAGCACCGCTCATTAGCACATTAGGCCACACCCCCGTGTTACCAGAAGTGTGGTCATCCACCCACACCCACCTTTCCCTTCTTATTCTGTTTACCTTGTTTGTTGTCAAAACAGGGCTTTTTTTGTAGCAGGAACTCCTTTGCATGTTAGGCCACACGCCCCTAATGTAGCCAATCCTAATGAGTTTCTGCTATTGGGTGTGGCCTATTATGCTAATGAGTTCCTGCTGGGCGTGGCCAACTCGGGAGCCAGCCGGAACTCCGTTCCTGTGCGTTCCTGCCCAAAAATAGCCCTGCTCTTACCCTCGCTCCATCACAGGGGCGGAGGGGGCACACCTAGCCCCTTTCCCTTTCCCCTCGGCACAGCCTGGACCTTTTCTTCCTCCCCCACTGTGGGCGAAGGGCGATGAGGAGGACGGGCGCTGCCCCACATTGTTTCCTCTGCATCTCATTGCTATGCAGGGTATCAGGAAGGCAGGCATTGTCTCGCCACCTCTGGATGCTGGCTTGGACATCTAGCCTAAGGTACTCGTACAGAATACAGATCGAGAATCTGACGGCCTGGAATGTTAAAAAATAGCTCCTCTTCCATGCTATTTTTCTTCCTTTAGTTATTGTGCGCAGCCTTTCGCTCAGCTGAGAAAATAATCATCAAGAGACCCCTGGCCCGAGACATCCGGCTGCCCTGGCTCCAACCTGGTGGAACCCTCTGCCAAATCACCTCTGTGCCCTGTGGGACCTGATGCCATTCCGCAGGGCTTGTGAGGCAGAGATGTTCCTCCAGGCCCATGGTTGAGAACAGCAATAGTTTCCCGATCAGCCGAGCCTCTTCCTTTTGTCCACTTCCCCCGTGGGGTAAGAATAATGGGTTTCTAGGCACCCTTTGGAAGGATTATTATACTGTTTTAATGTTTATAATTGTTTTAACTTGTATTTAAACATTGTACACCACTCTGAGCCCCACGTATTGGCGGAGGGTGGTCTAAAAATCAATCAATCAAACAAATAAATAAATAAATATGTTCCAGTTGTCCCTATTTACCAAAGACCATCCCTATTTCCTGGTTCCTGTCCTTGGTACCTCTCTGTTCCTGTTTTTCCTTTTAGAGAAATGTTTGGGCTGACTTTTAAACATGAACAGAATGCTGAATAAAAAGTATACTTTGGCCCCGATCACACGGGCCAGATATCGCGGGGGGGAGGTGTGGCTAATTGCCCCGGCAGAGTTTGATCTGTGATTATGCAATCAGACGCACCAGCGGCACACCACGGGTCCTTCCCTCGGCGCCGGCGAGTAAATGAGAGACCGGAGGGGAATGCCGCGCCCCGGCGCGATCACACCAAGGGAGTCTGGAGGCAGCCCGTGGCAAACGTTTACTAGTACTTTGGAGGTACTAGTTTTTTAACGCACATTTTCAGCGGTAAGCCACGGGTGCGCTCCACTTCCCAGATGTTGGGGTGTGATCGTGCCCAGATAATCCGCCCACCATCCGTGCCTCTCCCGCGGCAACTTTGCCGTGTGACCGGGGCCTATCATAGGCAACGTAACATAAGAGAGGGTCATGTAATTGATGGCATAGGGGGCAAGCAGGGCTGCCAACATCAGGTTGGGAAATACCTGGAGATTTGGGGGTTGGAGCCTGGGGAGGGCGAGGGCTGGGGACGAGAGGGGCCTCAGTGGAGTATAACGCCACAGAGTCCACCTTCCAGAGCGTCTATTTTCTCCAAAGGAGCCGATCTCCATAGCCTGGAGCTCAGTTGTAATCCTAGGAGATCTCCAGGGCCCACCTGGGGGAGGTTGGCAACCCTATTCCCCTGAGGGACGGCCGCCTGCTGCAGAGGTTACCTTTCTCATCCCCCACG